ACACTTTAAGTAAAACCAATTGCTCCTCTCACTGCATATGTTGAAGCAGAGGCTGGCTAACTATCTGTTAGAGATATTTTTTTGGATTCTTGAACTGAGCATCACCCCTTACATCACCTCTTCCAATTCCGTAATTATTTTATATTTTAGCATCCTGTTACTAGCTATGGAAATGAGTCCCACAGGGTAGAGCAGGGAAAGAAGTAAATAAGTGCAGTTTAGTTCTAAAGCAATCATTTTCAAAGCTATTTCCTCATAGCAACTTGAAAAATCACTGGACATCTTCGTGAAACTTGTTTTATAAATGAAACAAGTTGTGAATCATTTGGCTTATTCTCTGCCAGCTTCTTTGTCAAATGCAGGGCTTTATGAAAAGTAGACACTTTTAACTTTTTACATTTCAGGGCACAATAGGCTTAGAAGGCTACATTATTTTCTGTGCCAGGGCTTTATGATTCCATTCTGATCCTAATCAAATGCCCTTCAATCTCTGTCCTAAAGAAATCAAGTGTAGGAGGAACCAAGACTAGATCTCTGGATTTCTTAGGGTTTCAAAGCTTCTCCATGTATGAATGAAACTTGCACATCACAGATTAAGGATTTCTCCTTTACTATTATTGGATTTATATCCCACTTTTATTTTGTACAAATCAAGGTAGAGTACATGATGTTCCCACCTCCTATTTTCCCCACAACAACAACCCTGGGAGATGGGTTGAGCTGAAAAGGGGGACTGGCCCAAAGTTACCCAGCTGCCTTTCATGCCTAAGAGAGGACTATAACTCATGGTCTCCTGGTTTCTAGTTCAGCACCTAAACCACTATATCATCTTGGCTCTCAATATGGCTCTAAGAACATGCATATGGAGACAGTATGCCACTGAAATCTCCTTCTCCTTCTCCTTCTCCTTCTCCTTCTCCTTCTCCTTCTCCTTCTCCTTCTCCTTCTCCTTCTCCTTCTCCTTCTCCTTCTCCTTCTTCTCTTCAATCCTTACCACTACCTATGCAGAGAGTAATTGTATACTTGGAATAATGCATCTCTGTGATTTTATTTTTCTCTTGGAAATGTTGGAAACTATGGTTTAATATTAGGCCCATTAACTTGGGGTTTGTGTCCACCCATATGCCTTTGGGCTCCTCTTTTGGAGCCCCCCAGGCTCCCTGCCTTGATTTTTTATAAAATCAAAAGATTAGAGTCTCTTAATTTTAAATGGAAAATTGGCATGTTGCAAAGCATGGTGTCTTGAGTTGTTAGATGTGGTATACAAGGAACCAGTAGGACTCAAGCAGATCTTTAGCCCTTGCATGAAACAATTGGCTTTTTAAATGAAATTATGTTTCCTTAACTTCTTAATGACTGGCTTCCTTCCTGATCCAGGAAATCTCTTCTACCCTTTCCCTTTTAGCCCCTAACTATGACATATAAATACAGTGTCAGGCTTCAGCATCCCCTTTGTTTCCAGGCCCTATAAATATTCTTACAAATAAAAATAAGATGGGGCTGCAACCAAATTCTGAAGTGTTGCCACCTGTCCATAAAAAAGGAGAAGGGGAAGCTAAGAAGGGGAGGCAAGATCAGAGCCTGGAAAAATAAAAGAGGCAGAAGGAAACATACTCAACTGTTTGCATAAAATTCCTAATGGGCTTCCTAGCTCAGAAAAGTTTAGGATCTGTGTTTTAATTTGCAAAATCCCCTCTCTTCTATTTTTAAGGGATAAAAAGAGTAAAATCTCCATGTTGGGCTTGACTCCTAATATTTTCATGAAAGAACGTGCATTTTCATATTGAGTTTTCAGGTAATTATTCAAGTATGTATCCATAGTGTAAGCCTCCTATGCTATTCTCGAAAGATTAGATCATGTTTCTTTTCTAAAGGTTGAACCAGCTCACCAGTCCCAATTCCTATCAAAGCAGAGAAGAACCAACAGTGGAAGGTGCTAATCCTTTATAAAAACAGAAGCATTGTTTTCAGTAAGGAGGAATGATTTAAGGCAAAAGAGGCTGGTGCCAACAGGAATGAGATGCTCTTAAAAATTAGACATAAACCAAGGACTATTGTTATTGCAAATGTGCTGTTGTCACATCAGACCACTCTTTTGATGTGTTCAATATAAAAAAGGATAAGGAATAGACAAGGCTGGGAAAGCTTTGCGTAGGTGCCAGAGATTGGCCCCCGGCACAAGTTCATAGTAAAGATTCATATCATGAGACAGATAGATAGGAATTTCCATAGCAACCCTCCTGTTTCAATGTTGTTCTTGTCTTTAAAAACAACAAAGTCCCTTTGAGATAGTGTAAAGGCAAATGTTCAATAGTTTAATTTTATTATAAATGACATTTGAATGACTCCATGGCTTCCACCAACCTTGCATCCAGCAACTATATTTGGTTCAAAATGATGCTACCATGGCAACCTCCTCCTCAGGGGTGTATATATCAGAAAAGGCAAGATGGCAGTCCCATTGTTGCAACCACCATCTTGCCTTTTTTGACACATGCATACATGCACATACACACACTGTAGATGCTGCTGCCCTAGAGTCCTTACTTAAGTTAACCAATCAGATCATATAATTGCTTTGGTACTGGCTTCAGTTTGTTTCAGGGCTCAACTCACCTGAAAGCTCACCTCAGTGCTTCATATCTGAAAGCCAAAATAGCCTCAAACTGTGCTTTCTCCACGAGTTCATTCCCAAAGGCACTGTGGGACACACTTAACATTTGGGGGGTAGTGAAGCCTGTTGGGGGCTGGGACAGAATATAGAGCTGCAGAACAAGGGGGGCAGGTTCTCTTCTTTCTGATTGAGGAGGGGTTATTCATGATGCAGTGGTGCAGTTAGTTATGGGGATCCCTCATTTTGCCCATGTAACACCTCTATTCCACAAGCTGTGCTGGCTCCCAGTAGGCTTTTGGGTGCAATTCACATTGCTAGTTATCACCTATAAAGGCTTGCATGGTATAGGACCAGATTGTTTGTGGGACTGTCTGCTCCCAAGGGTATCTGTCTATCCACATGCTCTGACAGACAGGGCATGCTCCAGGTCCCTTCACCAAAATGATGCTATCTTATGGGACCCAGGAAGTGTGCCTTTTCTGTAGCAGCCCCTGGGGAACAGTCTTCCCTGTGACATCCAGTTGGCCCCAACCCTGCAAGCTTTTAGGAAGGTGGTTAAAACTTTCTCTGGGCCTTGGAGTTGTAAGAGTTGCCGCATTCATCACCAAATAAAGACTCTGTGAGACACAGGCTCATACGAAAGCAATTTACTCAGGTGTAATGCAGGTGGTTACAAAGCCATGATTGGCTTGGCACAGATTACATAGCATTTTATAGGTTCCCCATTCCTGTGCTTTGCAAGTCCTGCCTGTAGACTGCCCCTGGCTGCCTCTCGCCCCCTGGCTTCCCCACTCAGTCCAATGGCAGGTTCAGCCACGGTCCTTTGTTTTCCGGCTGTCTTGCTCATGAGGCAGGTCCCATGAGGCTGACTCGCTTGATGGGCAGTTGAGCGTGGCTTGAACTGCGGAGCTCTTTGTTTCTATTGTAGGTGGCAGCTAGGGGAAGTCCCACTTGTTACAAGGTAATTGAATCCTGCCGTGGGCTGATTGCCACCACCTGTCGGCAGTTTACTTGCGGTTAGCACTTCTTCTTTCGATCATCTGCGCCTGAGGCAAGGAAGCTGACCAGGCGCATTTGAACTTAGCTAGGCGAAATTGTGGCTAGCTTGAATGGCGTGCACTGAGCCAGGCTGAACCTGACAGGAGTCAGAATGAACTGAATCCCCAGACGATTTCATTTCTGTGTGCCATTTTGTTGTTTTAGAATGTTTTAATGAGATTTGTACATTGTATTTGGGAGTTGGGCAGCCTATAAATTAAATAAATAAAATAATCCCAAATGAAATAATATGTCTAAATAATGTGAAAGAGCTAACTGAGGCTGAAGCAGTCCCATTCTGACTCTTAAACCTGCAAGCCCCTACATATGGCAGTTAGATCATTGGTGACCATTCAATGTCACCACTTTTGTGTTTCTTGACTATATTGATGAATGCCATTATTACAAAGAGATTTGTTCTGCATATGTTACAGCTTTAGCATGCCCTTCTGCTGACTCCTCTAAGGAGCTTCTTACCTCAGTTGTAACATTTCTCACCATGTTGGAAATACCTATGCAGAAAGCACAATAATATATTTCACAAATTGGGAAACTGGTTTCACACTGTGCTGTAAACGGTGCTTTTTGTAAGTCTGTATAAAGCATTCTAATAGGTCCACATATAGCTTCATCATGGCAGCATATAGTCTGTGAAACATAGGTTTCTTATACTGAAAACATAAAGAGTGAGTAAACAAGTACAGCAAGCATTACTTTGGCCCATGTTCAACAGGCGAGACATGGAAAGACAGAGAATGACCAGAGAAGCTTTGTGCTATGAGAGGTTGCCGGCAGGAAAGATCAGTATCTGAAGAGCTGTTGATTGCAAGGAGACTTGTTCGATGCCCTTATGGGTGACTGAGTGACTGCTTCCTGCTAAGTAACAGAGACTGTAAGAGGTATATTAAGAAGAAGAGGAATATTAAGAGGAATATTAAGTAAGAGGAGCCAGTTTGGCCTAGTGGTTAAAGCACCAGGCTAGAAACTGGGAGACTAGGAACTAGGAATTCTAGTCCCACCTTAGGTACAAAGCCAGCTGGGTGATCCTGGGTCAATCATTCTCTCTCAGCCTTAGGAAACAGCCAAGGGCAAACCACTTCTGAAAAACCTTGCCAAGGAAACTGCAGGGACTTTTCCAAGCAGTCACCAAGAGTCAACACTGATTTGAAGGCATTAAAAAAAAGAGAGAGGAATATGACAGCCAAATTTCAGGGAGCAAGGTCACTGAGCAAATGAACAGGGACAGCAAACAGAAGTTTGTCAGGGGAACAAACTGTGTGGAAATCCTTACCAAAATTTCCCTTTGTGCTTGGGTAACCTGAGACCTAGACCAAAGAACAAGTAAAAGCCTTGTGCTGGTACTAACCTTAGAAATAAGTGAGAAGATGGATGGATAGGACTCCATATCTGCAATTGGCAATGTGAAAGCAGACGTTACAACAGAACCTGAGAAAGGAAGCAGCCCTCTGTAAGTAAAACAGAATGCCCTTTGGATGAGAGTTCCACCCAGAAACCAGAAACGGAGAAGATATTTTGCAGTGCTGAATTCAAGAACAGCTTTGGACTTCCAGATAAGGAAAATGGAGAACTAGACTTCTCAAAAAGAGCAGAGATTATGATACTGGTGGCAAGCTCGGTCCAGCAGAACTTATCCAGATAAAGGAGAGGATGAGAGATTGTCCACTTGTGCTCTGGACAGCTGCTCCTCATGACGAGACAGCAGGATAGCAGTCATCCTGTAAATCTGAGCACCAGGCGACAGGAAGCTATCAAGCTCTCAACCACGGCAGAGCCTTTAAGGACACTGGGTTCAACTAACCCATTTTCTAACCACCTTTGGATTTATAATTATTTTATAGTTAAAAGAGGTCTTCCAAACAACAAGTTTGAAAAAAAATCTGGTGAGTAAAACTTCATCCCAAAATAAAAGTTAACTAGCAGTTTAAAGAATATTTTAAAAATGGTAAAAAGCTGAATAAGAATTTAATTTAAGAAAGTTTTAAACAGATTAAGGGACCAGACAAATTTGGAATATTAGGACTTTTGCTAAGATTTTTGGAAAATTAAGTAAACAAAACATTTTCATAGGAATACAAATTGTTTAGTCTACCAGGAAAGAGAACACTGGTTGAAAGTTGAAAACAAAGAAAGTAATAATGAAACCAGAGATGCAGCATGGTGCAAGTGCGGGTAGATTGGTGCCTGCCCAGGGCCCACACCCATCCTGCCATCCAGGGGCTCCTCAGGAGAAAAGGTGGTGGGAGCAGGAGTGACTTACCAGAGCAACTTGCGACCTCCTGCCGACTTCCCCATTGCCTTTGCTTGTGGGAAACCAGTAGGGAAGGTCCAAATGGCAATCACATAACTGCAAGATGCTGCAACCATTGTAAGTATGAGCCAGTTGCCAAGCACCTGAATCGCAATCACATGACCACAGAGGCACTGCAATAGCTGCAACTTTGCAGACTGGTTGTAAGTCCCCCTCATTCAGTGCTGTGAAACCTTTGAATGGTCGTTGAATTAGTGGTTTGTAACTCGAGGACTACCTGTGCCTATATAATGGATCCTTGAAGAAGAGAGAGGATGCAGCTACACCCTGAAAATGAAAGAGAAGAGTAATGACTGTTCATGGCTCACTTTTTCAAAAAGCTAAAGTAACTGTGTCCCAACCAGTCCCACTGGTTTATGTGTTGTCTCCTTGGAATAAGGATCAGGGATGTGACAGAACAATTTCCAAGATTTATAATATCTGTTAATGATTTTCCCTTCCTGATATTCCATATAATGCCAAATGATACTGCCAAGGACAGCTACAACCACTATCACTAATTTGAAGAACTACTGTAGGAAAAAAGCTCATGACTTCCTTGTAGTATTTTCATACATTTTTCCAGTCCATGGAAGAGGACCAGAAATGGAAAGAACATTGTATGTCACGTCTCACAATAGAGCTAGGCAGTAAATCTCAGTTCTCAAGACATTTAATACCTTATTCAGAAAGAAGCTTACTTGGCTGAAGACTCTCAGACACAACTCAGATAGATTCTATTCTTTAGAAGACACAAGAATAAACCTATATACACAGAGATGATTTGCCCTATACAACACAAAGAAGCCAAAAGCTTTAATATAGGTCTCTGTTCCAGAGATTAAACTCTGGTCTTTCTCCTCACACCTTTCCAAGCTAATGGATACTTGAGGTTTTGCTTATTTACTTTTGGTGGCCCTGATAGGTTTATGTACGAGTTCTTCCTAGCCTAGGAATTGCTAGTTGCTTCCTACCCAGATTTAGCTCTCATACTGTAAGCGAATGACTGTCTATACAATGATGTCAAAGGGAGAAGTTTGGTTTCTGAGGCCATGGCATTTGTTACCTGGATGACAGACTGTTACCATGCTGGCAAGGGTGAATTGTATCTCACAAGGTCTGGATAAAAATGTATTTTGCCAAAGCATGTCAGCTATGATAAGGAGGGTTTCAAACTGAATTGGGGAGGGGGCGGGGAGATGAAAGCTCCAAAGCAAGAATCTCAGATAAAATCTATAGGCTTGGTCGTTAAGCAAATTGTTTCATTAATAGAAAATATCTATAGCTCAGAGTAGAACTGTTGGGTTCTAGATGTTCTGTAAGTTTAGTTGTTTTCTTGAAGATGTCACAAGAACTGATGATGTCACCTAGCTTGATAATGAATGATTGCAAGACAACAACCACGTTCAGAGAACATCAAAGACCCCCAAAATTTGGGCTGGGGATGAGATGCCTACAATGGGATAATCAGTCTCCTAGCCAAAGGATCCCTTATACATGCAGAAAAATGATGAGTTCTTCTGCTGTGACTTTCCAGACATTTAGGAATTTTCATTGCTTGATAATAATATTGTTTAATTTTTAGCTTATTTTTATTGTCAGAACTTGGCACAAATCACACAAAAGTGATCCAGGGACAGCAGCTAGAGAGCATTCAACACAACCATAATTGGCAGCACTGAACATAGGAATGACTTAATAATTAATGTGTGATTTCAAATTTGCAAGCTTTGTTTTGGAATTATTACCAGTGACTACAGACCTGCATCTCTCTGTTTATGGCCATTGGGAATCTGTGCAGAGAACAGTTCTTCAGCATTAACTTTTCAGCAGTTCATTACTCCTCATGTAGGAAGATATGCTCCTCCTTTCTTAAATAGTTTAAGTAGATTTTGGCAGACAGAATTCCACAGGGGAAGTATAGACTGTGGGAAAGATGTCCTTTCCACCAGGCACCTTTATATCCTTGAGCTCCTGGCAATGCTATTTTTCCTACAGAAAATTGACTTTAATTCTGTGTTATTGCTCCAAACCCAGGTGTTTGAGATTCTGTGGGTGCATCTTAGTCTAGCGCCATTGTGGAATTGTGCCCCAATGACTTGTAATGAGACATACTCCAGTCTTTGGTGCTGTCAAGGAAGAATTAAATCTAGGCAGTGGGCAATTTAAGAAAACATTTGCCATAGAACAATGGTGTTGTCTTCATTAACGTACAGAGATCTTAGAAACGATTTTGTTCCTTTTCATAGTTAAAAACTGCAATATGCCCTTTCTTAGGACATGTGGCATATTTATGAAGGGAGTTAGTCTGCTGCATACAATATGTGTCTTGAATAGTATCCATGTATATACTTTCCTCTGGAAGACCTCAGTCCACAAGTGCTAACACCACATAGATTTAGAAAAGTAGGCACCAGCTCCCTGCAACAGTATTTAGCTTGCTTGATTTTATTTTATTTTGTCTATTAGCATAAATAGTAACAGGGTGTGCAAGCAGCAAACTTCCCTTCCAGCAAGGAAACGAGTCTGACTTTTGACAATCAAAACCAACCTTTTCTCTTTTGGTAAATAGGTATCTCCCTTTCATGTTTGCATGTGATATGATATAGGAACTGACTTTTTGAAAGCAAATAGATGGATGGGAATGGGGTAAATAAACAGGCGGATCCATAGGGCCACAGTAGGTGGAGCACCTATGCAATGGTAGCATTGGATGGGGCAAGGTGTAATTTTTACCTGTCCTCTTTTTTGATCGATTGTGTGATTTTGGAATAGAAATTGCATTGTTTCAATGTATAAATAAATAAATAAATAAATAAATAAATAAATAAATAAATAAAT